TCCAAATAATTAGAATAGTAGAATTCTGCCATTTCGGTCAGAATGTAGTGCTTGTGTGCAGTTTAATTTGCTTTTAAAAACTTTGATTCCAAAACTATCTTTAAAATCTTTTCCTCTTCCTAAAATATCGCCTTCAACAACTTCCCACAAAACTATAAGTATTCCATAAAATAAGAAAAAAATTGTATAATCTATCGAAAAATGATTAAAAGACACTATTGCTACATAATCATGAAATAATCCACTTATCAAAAAAGCAGCACATATTCCAAGTGCGCGCCCAAGGGTTTGGTTGCGTTTAAAATAATTTTTGACAGGAAGGTATCCAAGTTCTTGAAAAACTTGATGATATACTTGATGCCATTGATTGGACCATAGATCTCGAGGACTTGTTGAAAAGTATGGGTTACCCATTAGAGGTTTTGTATAGAATATTGTAAGGATTAACCATTCTTTGATGATTGCTTTAAGAGTTTTTGAATTTTCTCGTTGTTTTCTGTGTATATCTTTATTTTTATCAGTGTTGTTAGGTAACAAAGGTTTTAAAATTATGCCACAGATGATACAATAAAAGTTCCACACTTGTGAAATGAATAAAATCGCACAAGTTATATAAAGAATACAAAAAAAGAAGGCATATGATTCAATAGGTAAATAGATAGTAAATATGCACATTATCATCTGAATTTTGTATTTATTATAAATAAAATAACATTTTTATTTTTTCATATTTACGTATTTAATGATTATTATTCATTCAAATTTTTTTTCATTGGATTACAGTGAAGCTTAGGCCATTCAAGTTGGTTATTATTTAGCGTTAATTTTCTAAATTCGACACATGGGGAGTTGATTCATTAAAATATATACCACAGAATATCTCATTAGTCAACTTTTAACCGTATGGCTGAAAAAAATTGCGTGATTTATAAACTTATTTACAGTAATATCGATGTTGTCCGGTTACCGTTTTAAATATCTCACTATTTATTGCCGTGCTTTTGAATTTTATTATATTTATTTGCCCGTGGCTGTATCATCAATTTACGCACAGTCAGACCTTGATATAATCACTAAAACGGGAATCAAAAATTTTATTAAACTAATGAATCATACTTTGTAAAGTTAAATTACTTAAAAAATTTTTTTTTTTGTTTTTTTTTTTTTTTTTTAAGAGTGAGGCCTGGCCTCGGTCTTTATTGAATAATTTACTGTATGTTTTACATTTGTAGAATGAATACTACGGGGACCTACAGCTAGGACTACTTTATCCTCGGCCTAAAACTCTACTAGAGTAGGCTAGCCCAAAGCTTGGGGATGGTCGTCAGATGGATTCCACCTTTCGATGGCGGTTGCGGCTTATACAATCATATTCTGATTAA